GCAAGACTTTTTTTATAAATATTTTTAAAAAAAGATATTTGACGAAAAAAATTAAATATTTTAATGTTTCCTAAGAATAAATTTCGAAATATTTTTTTTTAAAAATTCATTCAGGCTTGATTGATTTAAAGAATATATCATTTTTTTAAGAAAAATTTAAGGAAACTGCTAGGACACAAAAGTTTAAAATACATATGAAGATCGTGGCATCGTTTCACGTTAAAATTATAAGTTACAATATTTTCTTGCAGCTAAAAAGCATTTTTTTAAACACAAATAATTTTAATCACTTTACTAACAAATATTATATGCTAAGTTAGAAACGTAAATAATTCTTCGCATGACAAAGCGTAAGCAATACGAATTATATTAAAGAAACTCTGGAAATCCGTATCACCCCTCCAACTACCCATAAACTTGCTAGCATCCCCCTTCACCGTCCACTGAAGGCCGGGGGCCACAATTAAAAACACCGGTCAAATGGCGGGCCGCAACTTTATCAAAATTTTGTACAGGACTTTTATGTTTGAAGGAACATTAAATATTACAGCCAGATTTCCATCAAGTTGTACAAAACAAAAGTATTGAATTACAAATTAAAATAAGAAGTAGATTTTTAAAAATATTTAATTGCGTATTAAAAAATTCTGGCTACAATAACTTTAATGTGCACCTATTTATTTAAGCAATTAATGTGCAACAGATATCAAATTGTTAAGATATAAAACTTAAAAGTATTTAAAACCCATATAGATTTCTTGCAAAAATTGTCCGCAGAAAATTACAACAAATATATTTTAGTTCACGGGGCCACAAAAAAAAATTTTGGCTGGCCGGATGCAGTTCGCGGGTATACACTGATCTACAACGTATAAAAATCAGGACATTTGTATTGCCTCGGTACCAGCAACCTATGAAAACAATTTAATTCGGTATATTAAAAAACACTTTATTTTATTGATAATCTCAACTTCATGTTTTATATAATCTCTTGTAATAAAACAAGCCACAACGGAATTTCATGTATTATTGCTTACAAGTAAAGTGTTTTGACTCATCAAAAGTTCTTATCTGTTTAAATTGATAAGAAGGAGCTTTGAGGTTTGCTGCTAACACGTAATAATACTTCCTGCCTGCAATCATTTTTTCTTTCTTTCGGCTAACTATTTATTCGATGACTCTAATGCCATATTTATAGATATAAACGCACCCTATACATTATTGTATACTTTATTTAAAAAGGAAGGTGTGATACTTATTATTTGTCAAAATGTGTGATATTTCTTATTTGTTTTCAGTCTCGAACATAACAAACGTGTCACTAAAAAACGTAAACCTTTCACTCCATACGCTTATATATTTTAAATTTTTAAAAAATTTACATTTTCATTAATTGTGCCAAGTTCAATGGATAGTTCGACTGTTGAAAACATCATCATTTAACAATTTAAAATTATTACCTTATTAAATATATTTCATAGCATTAAAAAGAAATCAAACACAACTAATTTTACTACTTAAAATTTCTATGAAATTCACTTTCATTTAAACTTTCTTTTCAAAAAGTGATTTAGAGCCTAAAAAATGTTTCATTTTTCATTTACGTACAGCTGGAACTTATCTATTGATTTAAAGCCTATTTTTCGAAGTATGTGCAGCCAGTGGCGTAACTTTCGGGGGGAAGGGTTTGGCGGAGAAAACACCCTCCAAAATTAAACATGACCTGATTAATGAACTATTGCACGGTAAGCAGGATGTAGATACAAGAAAGCTTTCATTATTCATTTTTTATAATTTNAATCAAGTATTATTAAATTTTTTTCTTATAATTAATGAATTGATATTACATTAATTGTAATTATCAAACGTTAGCTCATTGTAAGAAATAGTTATCCTACGTCGACAAACTTTTAATTTTTTAATCAAAAATGAGTTAAAACTTGTTTTAAATATTATTTATTTATTTATTTTTTTGTAAGTTGGCTTAAATTAGCTTCATACTTGTTATTTCGGAGAGAAAATTTGCAGAGAAGTGCTGACATGATTTAAAACCAAATTATAAGTTGATGTTTTTTTTTTGTTTTGTTTTTTTTTGAAGGATCAAACCCAGTGCCTGTGACCTTTATCAAATCAACAAAGAATAACAATCTCAATACTAGAAACAGGGCTGTAGAGTTCGAGTTCGCTTAACTCCTGTTAATTAAGTTAAGTACAAGACATTAAAAAAGGAAGAAAACAATTTAAACGTTATGAAAATTATTTAGGCAAGTATTTATAATTTTTTGACCAAACATATTATTGAACAATTTTTTGAACAAACATATTATTGTGTAACAATTATTTAACTTATCACAACACTCAATTTATAACATTTTTGAGCCTCAGTTTAACCGAACTATTTAAAAAGTAACTAGCCTTTGAAATTATGGAAAAATCTAGATAAATATATGAATTATTAACGAGTTATCTTTTTACTTATAAATTTCAGAAACAAATTTATTTAGCTAAGATACAAAGTTAATTAAAAGAAATTATGCGAATCAAATGAATCATGAATATTCACTAAAGTTTCTACTTGTAATAAAATGCTTGTGTATGTGATACTTTTGTACTGATATATTTATTTAAAATTTATCTCTTCATCTGTAAGTTAAGAATACAAGTGTTATAATACAAAATTAAAGCCCTCATTTACGTTAATCGTATGTCAGAAAAAAACAGAAATATACAATAAAAAATAATTAATTACCTAATTGATCCTTATCCGAGAATTCGAACAAAAAAAGTTTATTCAATCAAATAATTTAATGACCACGGATATGATTCGAACAAATACTTCATCAAACTGATAACAAAATTCTAATCGCAGTATGTTTGTAGAATAATACTGATCTATAGATCAACCATTTTAATGTGCTAACACAAAAAATTATTCCCACTCTTTCAATAGAGATATAATTTTATAACTACTCTTACATCAATATTAATCTTGCAAAAAAATTATTATCTTAGAACTGAGACTGTTTTGAAATACACTGTACAGTGCATTGTAAAAGATTAATTTTCTTTACACAAAATTAAAATTTTAAAAACAAGCTGTGACACTAAGCATGCGATGGTGTTTGGTTCAAAACATATTTTGATACACAATATACACGAACTTAACCAGCACAAATTCTGGTTAAGTTAATCTGAAAATTAGTCGGTTTTTATGTCGGCCACTTAAGTTAGCAATATATATAACAACATTTAATTATCGTTAAGTTTTCTTTACATAGAAATGGGTATGGAAAACATTAAGTATATCTCCAGTTTAAAAAAATTATCCAATGGAAACAGAATTTTAAATTTGAACACTTTTTTTAACACTTAAGTAACAATTTAAAAAAAAAAAAACGTAAAAACTAAATTACTAGACAATGTAACATTCAAAATCCTAAACTATCTATTGTTACAATACAGAATCTACAAAAAACTAGATAAACTTTAGAATTGCTCTGCTATGAGTCTATTTTTTTTTTTTTTTTTTTTTTTTTTTTTTTTTTTNTTTTTTTTTTTTTTTTTTTATGAGCGTGGTGTAACAGCCGACCCAATTTTTTAGGTTTACGACTACTTTTCAACTTCCCAGCCTTGTAATTTTGAACCCAATCCAGAAGAAAAGGGAACTCCTGTATCAAGCATTGGGAGACATTTGCCTTCGTAGAGGACTTTTTGAGGGAACTAATCTGCATTTGCGTTGTAGGAAGAGGAAAACCGCGAAAATCTCCCATAGTTAGCCTTAAGGAAAAGGGACTCTAACCAATGATCCGTCTACCACTGATGATATATTACGCCAGTACGGTGGTCTGTGAAAGCCGAAGGCGGATTGATCAGCTATAGCTGGGATTCGTACCTAGCTCACCGCCGCAATGGAAGGCTCTCTCCCCTGAGTCATAACGTCTCAGTCTTGAAAGAATATACTATACAAATTTCTGATACATTTTTTTAAACTCCATCTCGTGTTCGCTTCCTTCCCCAACCCCTGTGACTGCTTATCATTCACCATTGTTTTTTTTTTTTTTTTTTCAGTTTATAGAAAAATCATTTTCTACATAAAGTATACAATCATCAAAATTTCATATACGAGTATTTTATTAATATATCAATCGTATTGAAATGGACGGATACCTAAATTTGAAAAATAATCAACTGTTCTTGGAAAAGAATACTTAAATTCAGGAGTACAGAATGTGAGATTATTTTTAAGGGAAAAAGCATATTTTTTTCATCTTTAAAATTAACTGATTGACAGAATGATTTTTTTACCACAAAAAATTTCCTTTCATCTAGAAACATAATTTTTTCAATATATGATGTAATATGCTATATAAATGACATGAGAAAAGTATAGATATTGCAATAAGTGTTTACCAAAAAAATAAGACCTACAATCAGATTCATAAATAGATAAGTGATAGCCAATTTCAAATTAACATTTGTTCCATCCGTTGTAGGTATTTTTAAGACTACCCATTTTTTTCATTAAGTTGAAAATAATTACCTTTTGCGGTTGCGTGATTAGACAAAATACAAAATTTTTTTAAAATGTCATAAAATAAAGTAATTAAATTTTCCATCTCTTTGACAATTAATTATTGCAGTTGTTGAAACTTAATTTTATGAAGAAAAAAACATTAAGTAAGACATTTTTTTAAAATTTTCGTAAAAACTTTTGGAAGTTAAAAGCAATCGTTAAAAAATATGTTCCGTTTATTTAACAATTTATTATAATTGTTGTTGAAACTAAAACTCATGAAGTAAAATCACAAGTAAGACATTTATTTTAAAATTTCAATTAAAAAATTGCCAAAGGTTGAATAAAATGTAAAAGCAAAAAGAAAAATCAACTTTAAAAAGAGTAATGTAAGGCCTTGCGAAATGAAACTAGATTATGAAAAGCATCCAATAGCGAACAATCACAGAGAGATTAAACATTGAAGCAAATCATTCTCAATACTCACATATATGACAAAATTGATGGCAAATATGACATATTTCATCAAACTCGTCGCCGGATCAGCATTGGCGACCATCTTGACCACTTTTGACCACTCTCCACCAAGCTATCAAGTAAACCACAATTTAAAGATCCACACCCAAAAAACGAAACCCACAACAAATCTTTGTTAGAATAGAGAAAGAATTTGAAAATCGAGTCTCAAGCGCATCATTTCTACGCATTTAGAAGAGAATTTCGGAGAAACTTTGAAACCTGGGATCTTATCTTCTGCAAAGGTAGAAGAACACACTTCAGAAAAATGGAATGTTGTGTCATAAACTATACACCAGGCAACACTGATAAGAACAATTGATAAAGACGGGGCCGCACAGGTGAAAAATGGGAATTTTAAAGCTAAACGAATATTATAACTCGGTTTCTTATTCGATGCGAATGTTCTTTATAACTTCTGGAACACCTTAAATCCTGAGACCCTACTTGCTAAGAATTGGGAAGGGATGTACCGGGGCCAGATTTTTGTTACCGAGATTCAAGAATACAAAACAACTAAATAGCCCTTTAATTTGGGAGCTATATTTATTGTTCTTTATTTTTGAGGTAAAGATGGCATGGCCTTCCTTACTCCAAAAATGGTGAACCTAACGTGGCACGTGATGTGATTTTGATGGCACCCTATAAATACATTTTAAATTACTTTTTAATCGCTTTGACTAAAAACTTCCTTTAAAAAAATAGTATTTCTTAAGACGTAAGGATGACTAGTGCCCCCCTCCCTTTATGGAAGCCCGTATTGTTGAGGGTACTGAATTTTTTTCTTGGGAGAGAACGTGAGTGTGATGAGTTGTAAGAATAGAGCCTTAACTAAGTGAAAAATTGAAATTCTGAAAAACACTGTAAGTGTAAATTTGCACACTGTTGTGAGCAGGTATTTTGGGCAATGAATTCTGCTTAACCGATTGTAAGAAACCACCTTATTTCAGATTTAAAGATTGTTGATAACTAAAAAGTAACTTTAGTTAAACAATGCATTTCAGTGTTTTGAAATGGCTCCCAGATTGTAGTTTGAAAAGATGTATGAATAAATGGCACATTGAATACCTGAAAACAATGAACCGTAATTTAACTGGCATACTAATCGAAAAAGGTTTGCTATCTCTTGCCTACACTATTGTCGTTTTAAAGTAAAGGGACGTTTCTCGTCCAAAATTCTCTAACCCGTTTTGTTTTCTTTCTAACAGAAAGAAAAGAGACACTACTATAAGATTTACACTTGCCTGTTACTCCTTAAATTGTTTTTCTTTTTTTTTTAAGTAAAGAGACATTACGCAGTTTGCACTTGCCTGATATTTACTACACTGTTTTTTTAAGTATAGGGACATTATACAGTTTGCACTTGTTTGGTATAGCCTACACTGTTTTCAGATGTAAAGGGACATTTCACGGTTTGCACTTAAGCCCGGTATTCCTTATACTGATGTTTTTAATATATTCCTTATAAGGCTAATTACTATAGCCCAATTTACATCTGTTTAGTATGACCCTTAATAATTTTTGTAAAAAAAATTAAAATCGTTGTACGTTATTCCTTACACTGACATTTTATTCCAATTAAAACTGTGTGAAATTCTCCAAGTAACTGAAGTAAAAAAAAATTTTATGTAATAGTTTTTCATTCCCAAATTCTAATATTGAAAATAAATTCTGTCTGTTTTCTATTTTATCAGGAAAAAATTGGTAAGTTGAATGCGGGTTAGAATCCTTTTGCCATCAGACTAATCATCGGGCTTTTTCGTGGTTTTCTTCTGAATTTAGTGCAAATAGAAGTTAGCTCTTTCAAAAAGTCCCCGACAAAGGCTAGTTTATCCCAATGTTTGATCTAGGAGTTCCCTTGTCTTTTGGACTGAACAAAATAAAAGACTACGTAGGTGAACATTGGTAGTTGTAAACCTGAAAATGGGTTGGCACTTTAACACTGGTTATTATACAAAATAAAATAATAACACCACCTATGAATCAAAATGCAACATTTTGCAAGTCACGTCTGTCTTTTTTCTAGCAATTTCAAATCTGCAATAAAAAACAGGGGTATAATTTTAAGATACTGAAGTTGACCCTCCGGGGTAGAGATTGGGAGGACATTCTGTGTATTTGAATTCCTCATTTGAAATGATTTTTAATTTTTGAGTCGATGTGCATTTCCAGTGGTATTTTATGGTTTCCATATTTTTTGTACCTTGTCTTTACTCAACTACCTCAACACATTTTAATACTAAATTAACTCTTATTTAAACAAAGTGAAAGAACACGAGCAAACATTGTTGCTTCTTTTTTTCAAAAAACCAGAATTCAAGTAAGTTGTATCATTATTCGCATGCTTTAAGAATGTAACCATGTATTTTAATACTGATATAAACAATAGATGTTTTTAAATCTTTCATTTATTCATCAGATTTCTTGATAAAAGTCGACAATGAAGCTCAAGAAAATTGTAAGTCATTTCCTTTCAATGATAGTTTTAATTATGATAGTTTTCTTTCTTTCTTTTTTTTTTTTTTTTTTTTTTTTTTTTTTTTTTTTTTTTTTTTTTTTTTGTAATTACATGATTTTTCTTCACAGCATATTATTAAAAATATTTAAATGCAATAGAAAAAACTTCACTCTTTCGGTCTTGAGGTCCTAGTATTAGGACTTCATTCATTTTCACATTATTTTATATTCCGTAATTTTAAAATTTTTTAACTGCAAAATCTAGTGCCCTACTAATAACGTTGTTCAAGAATAGAGACACGCTCAATGGATGGCGGCAGATAAAATAAGTAAAAATACTTCCATCTACTTGTTATTTTCAAAATATTATTATATGTAGTTTCTTGCATCTAAAAATTGTTCTGTAGTTCCTATTAAGTCTCTTTATGGCTAATTCAGTACTTTAAATTGAAAAGAAAAACGTTCTCCTTTTGTCCAATTGTAGCTTGTGCGTCCAACAATTAGATCACTTTTTAATGAGTTCGATCATTAGCCGAATTTTATTGCATTTAATATTAAAGAAACTTGTATATAGATCAGTGTATCTAACCCGTCATTGATTTCCTATGTGCCCAATTCTGGGTATACATAACATTTCCAGTATACATAACATTTCTGAAAAAATTGCATTTGTATCGCTCAGCGTTGCATGAAACGTATTTTGAATTTATACGTGGCCTTACCCAAACAACGCTGATTTCCTTAAAAAAAATTAAGAAATTAAAATTTTTACAATACAGCATTTGAAGTTACTTATTTAGTTTTACTTTTATACTTACTCATGAAGCAGAATAAGACATACGTATTTAATCATTTCATCATAAAGTAATCTAGTAACTCACCGAACTTTCTGAAGGAAAGAACCACCCAAGTCCGGCTCCCCACTCAAACGACCCGGCTAGGCCACAACCCCTGGTGTTAATTTAAAATTCAAAAAATACATAAATTTTCGCCATGACAACTGGCCCAAAAGTGCACATCCAATTAATTATTTTACAACAAAGTCTAAAACAAAATAGTAGATATCACAAATTAATGCTCCAACAGAACGAGTGTTTTATAATACGACCATCGACCTCATTTATGTTGCCTCAACAACACTGTTTTATAATGGGCTTCATTAAAATTTTCCAAACACTCCGTTGTCTTATAGTGGGCTAAAATCACATATCATAGTAACAATTGCAAATAGTTCCACTAAGTACAGTTGTCTTCGTCATATGGCAGACATCGGATCTGAGGTAATGAAATACTAATTACATAGTAAACAGAGTTTAAAATAATAGAAAAAAATTTGATATCAGATAANGAATAATTTTAGGGGGCAACATTCATTTCGGCCCATAGAAGGTCCTGTGAGAGATAAAAAATGATTCAATATATAGAAAAATCCGCTTTTTACTACTTCAATGCAGACTATCAGTTATTGTAATTGTCTCATAATCCATTTAATGTATTTAATCCATATAATTTAATGCACACACTATGTGAAAAATTCGCGTAAGCAAAATTGGAGATGCGAATGTAAACCTGATGGGTGGAATGTATTTACTTTCGAAAATCACGCCAGTTAGCGCCTCGTTCTCATCTCCGAATTTATTGCTTTTGTGATTTTTTTTTTATTCAATTCGAATGAACTTTAAATATTCTCAGTGGTCCTACAGAGACTTGGGGTTTAAAGTGCTTTTGCCATCGGTCTAACCGTGGGATTTTCTCGTGGTTTTCCTCTGCATGCTACGCAAAGGCTAGTTTTTAAATAAAGTTATCAAAAACCAGAGGAAATTGGCAAAAAGTCCCTCCCCGAAGGCAAGTTTGCCCCCCAATGCTTGATCTAGACGTTCACTTATCTTCTTGCCTGGATTCAAAATCAAAAGACTATAGAGTTGAACATTGATAGTTATAAACACAAAAATGGGTGGACCTTTAAAACCTCTTATAATACAAAAAAAAGCAATAATGATGTCTAAGAACATTTTTTTTTCCAATGCCCACCTGGAGAAATGAACTTTCGTCATACAGGCATCAGAAGGGCAGATTTGTTGGCCGCTCTTTCAGGGACACCCTATTAAGTGGGCCAACGTTGCTCACACCGTAAGGACAGATAGCACAAAGAATGGAAGAACATCCATGCCTTGCCCGGGATTCGAACCCAGAACCTCTCTGACACAAGGCCAGTTATCTTACCCCTACACAGGCCGGTCAGCTTATATCAAAGAACAAAAATGCAACATTTTGCAAGTCAAATCGCCATTTTTCGGAAAAATTTTAATCTACAATAGAAAAAAAATACAGAAAAGCAGGGATTTATTTTTAAGATATTGAAGTTGACTCCACTCAATCACCCCCCGGGGGGGGTAGAGATTTAAAGGATAAGTTCTGTAATTGAATTCCTCATTTGTTATGATTTCACGAGTGTATTTTTCGATTTTTGTGATGATGTATTCTCGCGGTATTTGAACATTTCCATGCTTTTTTTTAAATCTTGTCTTTAATCGACTCACTCAAACCCTTTTAATATTAAATTGACTATTAAATAAACAAAGTAAAAAACCAACAAGCCAATTTTTCGCAACAAATCCAAATTTATTTTTGCATAAAATATCAAAACAAGCTGTAACGTTATTCGTATGCTTTAACAATGTAAACTTTTGTTTTAACAATGCCATGAACAATTGTTATTTCGATTGATTAAATGCTTTGCCATTTCTTCTCAAGAATTCTTGATTGAAGACGACATTGAAGTTCGCGTAAAA